CACACTATCACTTAAGCTTATACCGCAGCCTCCGATCATTTTCATTCTCGCATCTGACAAGATTTGCCAGGATGATCAATTCATCTGCTGCGGCCTGATAGACCCATGATACTTGAAATAACGTACAAAGATCGGCACGGATCATTGACTTGAGAATCTTTAGAGCAGGTGCCAAATCTAATTCAAACAAGCTTGCTTGGGCCAGTTTGAGAACACGACTTGCGTACTATGGTGGAAGAGTTCTATTGGTAAGACGCTCCTGAATAGTTTTGAGAAGGATGCATTCTTGCATGTGAGTCTTGTTTGTTTGCCTTGCCGCGTTTGTCGAGATATTAAGACCGTTTGAAGAACCACGGAAATGATATCGCATGAGGAATATGAGCTGCAGTGCAATTCAAGCTGTCCTTAGATCTTTTCCAGTCAGGCGGCCACACTTCTATGTTGTATTCGTCTGTTTAAGGCACCACTGGGAGAACTGGTCGCTTGTAAGATGTTTCCAGATGTTGTCCAGAGTATGTCACCATTTACCCTGGACTAGTCCGTTAACAGTAGTAGTCGCAACGAGTCCCAAGTCTCGCCAATTCCAGCGCATTTATGGCTGTTCAAGATGTACAGCACTTATCTGTTGGTAATAATTGCATGGTCAAGTGCGATTGTAAAAAGTTTACATGATTACTGTGGTATGATGCTGATATTGAGTACCCCATTCCCAGCAGTAAAGGGAGCACCGTCGAGGGGTCGACAGGCATCCATCCATCCAAACGCCAGCCAGCAAAAAGACATCATGATAGAAACTCAATTGAGAAAAAGAATGATCACGCTGGGGATCGAACCCAGAATCTTCTGATTCGTAGTCAGACGCCTTGCCATTGGGCCACGCGACCGTTTCTTGTTATTGAATTAACTCTCGAAATCGTCGCTTACGGATTCTGCACTCAAACTTTTCTCGCTAGACCCCGGAAGATTGTCCGCTCAAACTCGGTACGCCGCCCACAACCCGCGCCAAGCGAACGAGAGCTAGCGACTGATGGAATCTGCTAAAGAGTAAAAGTCTCCATAGCGGCGTTCAATAGCTCAGAGTAGACCCTGGACTAGAACTGCAATAACAGTTTCTTTGCGCCACCTTTATAAGGGAGGGTTAGGCGGCACAGCACAAAGAATGCAATGCCAATGCACGTGAGATACCGACAGCCCCTGGATCTTGCGTTAGGTTAGGGGATGCAGTCGCGTACCTTTTAGCTCAGACGTAAGGTTAATTATTATCTTAAGTTATTTTAATGGGACGTACTGTACCTACTGAGCTCAGCTCCTCTGCCTGCACGCTCATTTCATTCTCTCGGTGATCAAATCTTCATTTCATCCTCACACTCACATTCACATTCACACTCGCCTCACTCTCCTTTATGCCATCATCTACGTGATACAGGGACTGAAACAATCCCTTGTTCCTTTGACGTCAACTCACTCATTTCCAATTCTTTTTTCATTGTTGCCTTGCGGGTTCCGTTCAAAAACCGAGCTCATGCCATGGCCATCTTCGCGTCCTCAGCTGTCCGCCTACTCATCGGCCTCACAGTCGCACTCACCTTCATCGCCTTCTTCACACCAACAGGCTACATACCAGACGCCGCATTATCATTCAGGATGCCAGCTGCACTAAAAAAGCTCGACGTCTCCATCACCCAGGAGGAGAAGTATCCTGTTCTTATCCGCGCAACCGTCAGGAACAACAATGACGAGCCCGTCACCATCCTCAGCTACGGCTCACCCCTGGACCCCTTGGGCATTTCTCTTGGCATTCTCTACATCACGCCAAAGGGCGACAGCAAACCACTTGACATTATGCAGATTGAAGCATCACGGCTCTGGCCGCCTGCTGATGATGCTCTAATTGAGATTCTGCCTGGCCGAGCGGCAATTTGGGAATTCACCCTCCAAGAACCCGTTGTTCCGATGGACAAGGTTTTTGAGGGGGCGACGGTGCAGCTAAAGGGGACGTGGAATGCTGTGTGGACAAAGGAGAAGAAGAATGTGGACTACACATCATTTGAGGAGGGCACACCAGCAAACGAGACTCTAACAGGGCCATTCAAGTCAAACATCATCGACATTGAAGTCGTATAGACACGATTTGTATCATCATCATCATCATCGTTATTATTATTTGGCGTTTTGGGGTGGCAGGCATGATTAATTGGTTCACTTGTCGCTACGTTAGATGACTAGAGTGATTGACGGGTTAATTGGGAAGACAAGCAAGGGGCGAAAATATTTTTTATTAGAATACATATAATTCAATCCAACCCAACCCAACCCAACAAGCAAAGCAAAGCAAAGCAAGCATTCTTTGTGTCTCCCTGAAATGCCTGCAGTCAGCCTTTCGACGCAAGCCACATTCATACCCTGGAACAGACCATTGACCAACCAAGCCCAGGCACGGACAAGTGTCTTAAATGATATCCAGAGCCACCCAACGCCGGCTGTTGGGTCTAGCATTCATAGATCGTTAGTCTGGTCAATGATTGATAACGTCGGTATTGCTAGCTTGAAGACCGGCGTTCCGGAAACCCCCTTTTCCAAATAAGCGCTATCAACTGACAACACTACCCTGAAGCTGAAGAAGTCATGACGGGTGTTGGTTCTGATGAAGAAATGCTGGTACTTGGGATTATCATACGATGAACTGACAATGCATGCATGTGTAGATTGCCCTTGTGCTCAACCAATCACGAATGAATTGTCGTTGGCACATCCGGACTCCCAGACATGGCTATTTATATTAACCCGGTTGACAGCAACACGGTCCTTTTCCCCCAAGCCTGAGTTCATCGCTTTTTGCTGACATCAGGTTTCAATTGTTATCTCTTGAGAAATGTCACTGAAAACATCTATCTGTTGAGACAGGTTTTGTATTCCCAGGCTGATGGGATACTTGACTGGTTTGGCCCCGTCACACTTCTTCACATTTGACCATTGAATCACCGGTAATTGAAACGATGATCAGTCGACACTGTCATTTTACACGGTAATGTATCGATGCTATCAAGCCGTTGTATCCCGAAACTACAAGTTGCCGACGGACATCATCTCAGTTCCCTACCATGCTCCAGCGTCAACAACATTCCCGTTCTCAGTATCAAGCGTAGTATATCCCAATGTTCAATTTTATTTACTCCCCAATCTACTTTTAACTTTCTCTCGGATATCAATCTCTACTCCCGAACAAACAACCCAGCCATACCCATACCCGTACCAACACACATACTCACAACACCGACCTCACCTCCATCCCTCTTAAGTCCATGCAAAAGCGTACTCGTCATTCTCGCTCCCGTAGCTCCAAGAGGATGTCCCAGCGCAATAGCGCCTCCGTCAGGGTTAACCTTCTCCTTCGCCCACGCATCCTCGAGTCCCAACTCCCTCACACAGTGCAGCGCTTGACTAGCAAACGCCTCGTTGATCTCCCACCGTGACACATCTTCTGTCTTGAGACCGACTTGGTCAAGGAGCTTGGGGATGGCGAGGGCAGGGCCGATACCCATCTCATCGGGGTCGCAGCCGACTGTCACGGCCGAGACGAATTTTCCGATGATGCGGTCTTGCAGACCAAGAGCAGTTGCTGTGCTTCGGCGCATGAGGAGGGTGGCGGCAGCACCGTCGGAGACTTGGCTTGAGTTTCCAGCCGTTGAAGCACCGTCGGGCTTGAAAGCAGGCTTGAGCTTAGCAAGCGCCTCAATGCTAACACCCTCACGAATACCATCATCAGCAGTGACAGTGATACGCTTCTCCTCGCCAACCTTGTTACCCTGCTTATCGACCTCCTGGAATCTTGTCTCAACAGGCACAATCTCCTCCGCAAAGCGACCCTCCTTTCTCGCACGCGCAGCACGACGGTGCGACTCAACAGCCATAGCGTCCTGATCCGCTCTCGAAACACCATATCGCTCCGCAACGTTCTCCGACGTCAAACCCATAGGCATGATACAATCCTGCGCATGACGATTAGGGGAAGTCTTCAACTCCGGCCACACATCCACAGGAATAGCTCTGCTTCCGTAATTCCTCGTCATGCTCTCCATACCAGCCGCGATACCCGTGTCGATCATGCCCGTCTGGATCTGCGCCGACACAGCAGCGATGGCCTGCAGCGAACTAGAGCACGCGCGGTTCACGGTATACAAGCTGGTGGTGTTCTTGAAGCCGACGTGGTTGAGAGCCATGCGCGCCGCCTTGGAGCCGCCGAGCTCGGAGAGCACCACGCCGACTGCTACATCGTCGACGGGGGCCTCAGGGTGTGCTTTGAGAGTGGCCTTGAGGACGCTGGCCAGGAGCTCCTCGGGGTATGCGTCCTTGAGCTGGCCCTTGTAGGAGCGGCAGATGGGAGTGCGGACGGCGGAGAGGATCACGGTGTCGGAAGGGGATTTGGCGAGGACGCCTTGAAGGCCTTTGTGAAGACGGGCCGACATTATGATGGTATTTGGGGTATATGAGAGATTATGGGGTTACAGGGGAGTCAATTGGTAATATGAAGGAGAAAAGAAGAGATCAGAGGTTCATGATGAGAAGTGAGAGAAGTGTTTATGAGCCGGGTAAGTAAATATCCCATTACCCATTACCCTCCACCCCCGCCGAAAGCCGGAACACTCCCGTCCCGTTGCCATGAGCCGAAAGTGGATCCTCGACACCGGCTTCAGACTTCGGGTAATGTTTCAAGTGTGGCTGGAAATGTCGGAGCGTCGGGTAAGATCCCTGCGTGTGGCGTCTATGGCTGTGCATCACTCATCATGAGACATACACATTCTGATTGAGCTTCAATACTGTTGAAACTTGAACAATCTTCCCATTTATACACGAATCCCGCTGTGTCATTCTACCCTCTTTTGATCACGACAACATATATACAAACTCGCCAAATGCAATGCCTTCAACGCCCCCTCTGCCGATGCCGTCGTTATATCGTACCCCGAACTCCATTTGCAATCTGCTTCTGATCTGACATTTCACTGTCTATACTGAATCCCAAGTCCTAGCTTATCTTGCCCATCGACCATTGGCTCAACCACTTTGGACTTCTTCGCTGGACTTGCTTGATCGAGCCGTATCTCCTCGGTAGATGAATGGTTGCCACTGAATTTTCGCTTGTCGCCATCTCCATTTCGGTGGGAAAGTAATCTCTCCTGCATGCGAACTGTCTTCTCCATTGGTCCTGGTGTGTTTCTCAAGGGTTCGGCCACCTCAAAGCTCTGCCGCGGATCTCGCCGCAGCATCTCTGCAGCAGCTTGACTAGCCTGGCTATCAAACACCTCTCCGTCCTGGTCGCTCCGGTTCCGTGACTGAGATGTAAACGACTGAGCTGCGGCAACCGACTCGAGCGCCTGCCTAGCTAGCTCCTCATTATCGTCCGCTGAAATAGTGCTCTCTCGACTCCTACGGCGGCGGTCAGTCTTGGCCACAGGTGTCGTAGGAATGAACTGTCTCTGGGAGTATCGATGAGGCTCCGAGTGAGGTACCAGATCCACCGATGGAAGAAGCCCAACGTTTGTACCCACCGGCCGGTTCATAGGCGTCGTGGGCAGTGACGACATGGATTGCGAGTTGCGGTGGTGTTTTCCGACGCGTGGTGCAGGGCGGTGAGAATGCATCGGTGTCGAAGGTGCGCTGTTGTTATCCTGGCTCATAGCCTGCAACAATGCCGATAGACCATGCTCGCCTTGTGATCTAGATGTCTGCTGCTGTTGAGAGTTCCTATGCCCTTGTGTCACGACAGCGACTTTCTGTCTGGGTGTCAAAACTGCGTGAAATATACCCCCAGGTCTACAGAGCATCTGCATATGCTCTCTGTTCTCGCGTATTCGTCTCAGCAACATATCTCGCTCTTCATGAAGAGCAATGCTTTCATCCTCGCTTTGCTTGATGACTTTCTTAGCCGTTTGCACCCGGCGTTGAAGGATCTCATTCTCTTGTAGCATGGCCTCATACCGAGTCTTCATCTGTAAGTACTTCGTTTGTAATGCCTCGGACGGCTGGTCAAATTCTTTTCGAGCCATTCGGGTGAATTCTGCATTCCGGAGCGCGTCCACCTCGCGACGCATCATCTCGTGTTCCACGGCAGCACGCTTGGCATCATCGTCTGCCTGGATAGACAACAAGTTATACTGTAGCTTATGATGAGCTGTCTCCATCTTGAGCTTTTGTTGTTCTGCTAGAGCCGATTGAAGCATGACGCGAAGCTCGTCGGCGGACGCTTCAAGGACCTGGTGTGGAGCGGGAGGAATGAATTCTGTTGTGACAGGACGTTCGCGTACGTTGTTTGGTACGGTAGCTGGTGGGGAGAAGAGTGTTGACTGCTGGGAGCCAGAGAACTTTCGTTTGGAGGGACCGGGACCAGCTTGACTGGCATGGCTGTTAACCTGGGTCGAGGGGGGCGGTGTAAGTGACGATGGGATAACAGTGACGGCCGGTCGGTCCTCGTTGATCTGGGTTGTAAAGGATTCGTTTGGATCGATGGGCGAATTTGGAATCTCTGTCGAAGGTAATGTCACCGCAGCTGGATCTTGGGGACCTGCTTCCTGAGGTTGAGGTGTGGTAGGGTTCTGTCGCTCGCGAGGATGCCTAACGACGATCGTATCGCCCTGTAAGGTCTGCGTAGCCTGTGTGGCTTCCGTAGGAGAAGTCATGTTGAAGCAATCGTGTTCTGCTCTCAAATAATTCCCCAGGCAACCAAGTCGCGTCAACAGCTCTCGTCGTTCCGATCCGTCAGCTGATGAAGCCGGATCTTCGACAGCGAGTGGTATATATTGCTGGTGTCTTCAATGCGTACATGTGCTTTGCATGCGCGTATGTTTATTATCCTTTCCAAATCAAACTTTATGCGTTGTCGTGCAGCGCAACGCAACGCACGCACAACGCGCCGCGATATGGATCCACAGTAAACAGCGATTGTGACGAGGGAAAAACAATCAATAGAAGAACCTTCAATGGAAGAGGAGCAATGAGGATATAAAGCACAATATACGTAGAAAACGTTGACACAAGTGAGAAATGCTTCGGCTTGTGACGCCGTCGTTTTTGGTTGCTTCCAAGAAATGAGAAGCTAGCTGAGTTGAAGATGAAAGACCCGGGAACAAGGGTTTTTCCGTCGGGCACGCGCCTGTGTGTTTTCAGTGGAGGATGATGCTTGTTTTTAGGCACTAAACTACAAGGGGTTACAGGTGAAGTTCGGTGACCACGGCCTGTGAAACGATCCACAGGCGTTATCTGTCAGTGCCCGAGACATCAAACCAATCGAGCCGAATCAAGCAAACCAAACGAAACAGATAAAGGATGAAAGCCAGTGGAGAAATCTCTTGATATTGAAACGAATGAATCAAAGCTTCTGTCCAAGAATCTGTCAAATAGAATATCCCAATCTGCACTTCCCCAACTCCAAACCTGTAATACCAAAACACCAAACGGTTCGTGAGACCTTAGACAAGAGCAGCCTCAGAAGTCTCCCTCTCCGTTTCTTGCTTCCTCTTTACACCACACTCGGAAAACAAATTCCGAATACCTTTTCCAGCAGCCAAGATCATGTACACCGCGCAAATGACGGGCCAGAACAGAATTATAGAGACCCACCACGCTGCCACAGCGAGTTTTGCCCAGATCGAGCCGTTGGAGTCGAGATACCACTCTGGGACAAAACTACTAGCTTTTCCCCGTGCGTTTAGGACCAGACCGATTATCAAGCCGAAGGTAACCCAACCGCCTGTTGTGATTGCTGCCACGAGCCTGATGGTTGCGGAAGGGCCCAGGGCGTTGTCCCTCAGAACGTTGTTGTTATCTGCCACGTCGCGGGCCATGAGGGCGATGGTTTCTAGTAAAGGAGGCATAGCGGCGATGTTTGGTGATTTTTAAAGCCTTGATGGTGGTTCTAGGTCGTGCAAGTTGTGTAATGTGATGGTATCGTGAAGTGTCGCCTGGGCTGGTGCTCGGGCTGGTCTTGTAGTTTTCGCGCGCATGTATCGGCGTGATTGAGGGATACTCGAAGAATGTTTCACGATGTTGAGAGTAGTGATGAAGCGTTCCCTTACAGGGAGGGATATTTCCGTGCTTTATGGTTGGTGATAAAGTTCGTGTTGATACTGATGGAATCGCCACGTCCATTGAGGCTTCATGTTCACCGTGTCCAAGGTTCTTGCCCCTGATAACCACAAGCACTTTCCAAAGTTGGAGGAAGCTCTCACTACCTGAAGGCAACCAATAAAATACGTCCGTGATGTGTTAGTGAAGAGACGAAGTACCGGATAAATTCATTGGCCTCAGTATCAGATGCTTTTGCTTTTAGTTGTGCGTGACTCACGGTAACTTAAAGCCTTTGAGCTCAGGAGGATGGATTTCATGGTTCGGTCCCTCCTATTGAACCTCATACGTGTAGTAGATAGACTCAAAAATTGAAAGACTCTTTTCGTACTTCAACATTGTAGGTAAGTCAAAGATGGACCGACAATCAAGACTAATCCAGAGCCTTGTAAACTGAAGGCTCGTGGATTCTCCTCAGATCCATTGCCCTTTACTCAAGTTCTCCTCAGCATCAGATCAATAGCACCAAAGATACGGATAAGATCAGCCTGGCGTTTCTTGCCATGCTCGGCTACTCAAACTAGCCTCGAGTCAATCGTGGCTAACAGAAGCTGTGTAAATATCATCGCCTGGTTGCTTCACATGAGGACCGGCTCTCCAACTACTAGCTACAGCATGGTAGGTTTCCATTCCGAAAGCTAAAAGAAGGGCCATTAAGAAAGGAGTGCTGCGGTAAAGGGTTTTCAAGATTCCATGCTAAAGCTTAACAACAAAGTTCGTCGACTTCAGCAAACCTCGACCTGTTGGCGATGTGTTGTGGGCCCACGTACAAAGAATAGAACCACCATTGCAGACAGCGATAGGGAACCAAGAGAGGCGAGAATGTTTAGGACTTTCATCTTAACTGATGACACGCCCCAGGCAAGTTTAGTATCTCTTAGAAGACCTTTAGACTACCTACACCCTATGTTAGCATCAGAACTTCTTTGCTCCCGGACGGCAAGGGGAACAGTTATGACATGCGAACGTAACGGCCTCGATTTAATCGATGACGCAGATAAACGCTGTATTTGGCTACATGAGTATCCATAAGATGAAGAATTTGAACCACTGGGGTAAATGGCCTTTCTTTAGCAGGGTTTCTTATGATAATTGCAAGGATGGGGATGTATGGCAGGCTTGGGGCGTCTAGATGCAAGGAATCTTGCTCAAATAGGCGGCGCAACCAGGTCGAATTATATTAACAAGAAAGCAAGACGGTATATAGTCCCCAGTAATAAAACTAAAATACGTCAAAATATGTACCAAGAAGCGAAAACCACCCATAGCAAATGCACATCAATCAGCGCCAAGTCTACAGCTCATAATCAATCCACCTCAGGCTCATCATCATCTCCTTGCCATGAAGCCATATCAGCGACTGGAACACGCCCCCTGAGCCACCGCAGAGTGGCATCTGTGCCTCGTTCAATCACGTTCCATCGCGGAACTCTGAATCGGTTGCCTGCGACCTCAAAGCGCTCGAGTCCGCCTGGACCGCCGAGAAGACCAATACGCGGGTTCAGGTGGGCGATGTCGTTGTTGCTCACGTCGACGATCTTGAGACCCTTGATCATGTCTGGTTCGAGATCGACGATGTGGTTGTTACTCGCTAGCAAGACGTTTAGAACGGGAAAAGACTCCTTCAGATTTGTTGGGAGAGCGTTGACGCGATTCATCGTCACGTCAATCTTCTCGAGACTTGGTGCATGCAAGAACTGCACAAGTGCTCCAAGACCAGTAATGTGATTCGATGCCAAGTTAAGCTCCCTCAAAGCTGGGAGTTCCAATTCCTCCGTCAGGTACGCCTCGCCAACCATCTGGTTGTGAGACACAGACAGAGCAGTCAATGTTTCGGCAAAAAAGCTAAGCGAGTTGGGCAGGGTAGCAAAAAGGTTGTTTTGGAGGAATATTTGTCGGACACGGTGTTCGGCAGCGACTTTAGAGCAAACGACGGGATGGAGTGATGAAGACTGGGTTTGGGATCGATCTAGAATACCGCCAGGCTTGACGGGCCAGGTCTGGTTCGACAACGTGTGCGATCGAGAGCGGTGGCTTGATACAGTGTGAGATCGGGAACGATTAGGGCTTTGGGGAGGTGTAGCGAAATCATCATCTGACCTGTCATTTTCATCAAACATTGCGTCAGGGTTCGATTGCGTGTTGTCAGGACCCTTAACATCCGCCAGAACATTTAGGATGCCGACTTGAGAAGCTGGCTCTTGGTAGGGAGGTGGTGGTTCAAGGCGGCCAGCGAGGACCTCCTTGAGATCTTCGGTGGTGATGGAGAGGAACTTCTTGTCACGAAGAGGGTTACCGCTGAGTCGAATCATAGACAAGTTATCCATGCGAGACACCTCGGGAGGAATCACTCTGATGTCGTTGCTAGAGAAATCAGCATGACGAAGTTTCTCGAGACCCATGAAACTGTTAGGGATTCCAGAGATATTGTTCTCTTCGACTGATAATGTCAAAAGGCTTGTCCAGGTCGTCATGTCTGGAAGTCCTTGAAGACGGTTCATCGAGAGAGAAAGAGAATGCAGAACTGGAAGGTCGATCGAGGCACCCAAGGGTACGAGTCTTTGCAGTTGGTTTGCGGAAGCGTCCAATGTGTGCAACTGAGGCAGGCAGCCGATGGGCTCCTCAATCAGAGTACCCTTCAGCTTGTTCTTTCTGATATTCAACTCGGTAATGGGCAGTGTGGCAATGCTATCAAAGGGAAGAGACTCAAAGCTGTTTTCGCTCAGGTTAAGAATACGAAGACGCGACATGTTTTCGACCTTTGGAGGTAGTGCAGAGATGTTGTTACCATGCACATCAAGGATTTCCAGCTCGTTCAAGCTCGATAGCACAGGGTTGAGGGGGCCGTAGAAGAGGTTGTTTGCTAGCTTCAAGTCGCGTAGAGAGGTGACTTGTGAGAGGGTGTCCAGGCTGTTATTTGTTAAGCGATTGTTTGACTAAAAGTGTCAGCAAAGAGGACAACTAGGAATGCGTATACAACATACCAAGTTCAAGGAGGTCAGGCAAGTCAACCGTCGAAATCCCAAGGGAACATTGACGAGAAGATTGCCATGCATGTCCAATGTCTCCAGACCAGCAAAGATGTTTCCTTGACTAGCCTGGGCCTCGTCGAACGAAGAGGGGTTGCTGTCAGGGAAGATGAAGTCGTCCAGTTCTTCAAACTCGTTATCCGCGGCAACAAAGCGTGTCAGATCAACACTCTCTGCCCAGCTTCCGTCATAGGTACCAATGCTCTCCAGATCGTACATCTTGAGAACCTCGACAGGAATCTCCTTCAGGTGCAGAGCCGCAATATTGAGTCTTCCAGTTGTTCTTGCACTATTGACACGGTTCTGGAGAACTTTCTTCTTGGGATCTTCGCCCTTCCGAGTATTGAAAGGATCATCATGGTTGACGCCAAAGTCGAAGCCACTATCTGAAGGAACGATTGGTGCTTCTTCTTCTGGGTGTGTCTCGATCTCAGACGCTTGCTTCATCTGCGCACGTTTCGCAGCCTTGGCCTTGGCAATCTGCTCACGCAAAGCGGCTGAAGACTTGCGAGCCGACGGTGGTGTTC